CCGGAATACAAATAGGCAGAAAGTAAATAAAATTCTGAGAGAGACTATACTAGCTGCGGGCCGCCTCGAGGAAATACAGCTCACCTAGTCTCTGAGTCGCCCTTGCTGCTATGCCCAATGGGCAAATAGAAATACCTGTACCTGTGCAACAAAATGCACATTAAGTGTAGCATGAGTACGAAAACAACGTGTACTCAGTAAGTATCCCGCCAATCTCAAAGAAGTAGAGACAAGATGGCAACTTCGACACTTACTAATGGTCAAATAATAATATTATTAAAGCGATAACTCACGAATTTATTAAGGACAACAGTAGATTCAAATGAATTACTAAACAGGTAAAAGTTCCTTTTGATTAAAAATCTCCGGATTCATAATCCATTAATTAACAATTATCTCAAGTCAGGGAGAGCAGATGTCAATATCAATAAATCTCAAGACAAGTAATTCAATCATGCACAACTCATGCCGAGGTCGTATGGCCCGATCCGCATAAATGTAAAATGTGCACTGCCGAGGGTCGAGCGGCCCGAACCATAGATGCATCTATTACCCCGCTCGCGAATCATACATGCGACGAGGTTAAATTTTAAATAAACAATCACCCTGCTCACGTACCATACATACGTCGCAGGTACACATAGAAATACATGCTCAAACAACAAATTAAGAATTTTACGGGAAACATTTATCCCATTAGAAGCCAATTCAATAAAGTTAATCCTCTTAGAAATTCATTTACCAATTCGATAGGATTTAAGAAATTCAACTGTCAATAAGATTACAATTATTCCAAGTATAGCATGCTTTTGGGTCCTAGACTACCCGGACATACACATATTAGTAGCTACGCACGGACTCTCGTCACCTCGTGCGTACGTAGCCCCCACAAATAGGAGCACATAACCAATTATTTTACCTATGGGGACAATTCCCTCTTACAAGGTTAGAAAGGAGACTCACCTCACTCCGAAGTTCCAAAACCGGCATTCCACGCCCTTCCGAAGACTCAAATCGATGCACAATGATCCAAAACTAGCCAACAATTATGTAAACCCATTAATATATGCTCAAACACTCATAACAATTCAATTTATATCAATTCCCCACTCCGCTCGAAAAGTCGATAAAAATCACCCTCGAACCCATGAGCCCGGATTCCGAAAATTTTTGAAAATAAATATTACCCATAACTCATTTGGTCTATATCCAGAAATTCAACCAATTTCGTCCATGAATCGACCCTCAAATCAAGGATTTACCATTTTTCAACTTTGGGGCTCAAAATCCCAATTTCTACAATTCAAACACGGATAAAAATAGAAACCAATAGAAATAATCATGGATAACATCAAAATAAAGGTCAGATATTTACCCACTTGTTGAGATGAGAATAACGCCGCGAAAATCACCTCAAACGGAGCTCTAGAACTCAAGATATGCCCAAAGTACTAAAATTCTCGGTTTAAAACACTGTCCAGGAGATTTTTCTTCATCACCTTCGCGGGAGACCTTCGTGTTCCCGAAGGGCAATTTTTCGCGTTGACCGGTCAACCCAGAAATCCTTCTTCGCGTTCGCCGAAACCCTCTCGCGTTCGCGAAGAACAAATCTTCACACCAGAAACCATCAATTTTTCCCGACACGAAAATGAGTATACTCCCTCATACGATGTCCAAATTAAGACGATTCTTTTTGCTATGCCTCCGTAATTACGATACGGATCTAATGGTTCAATTAAAACTTAATTTGGAGCTCATTTGCTTAATATGGTACCCTTTATGTCCAAAGAAACGATGTTGAAACATCAATTAAGAGCGCGATTGTGAGCACGTGATTTTTGCCCTATACGAAATACTCCTATAAAATCCCAAGAAAATAGATTTTTGTTAATTATTCGCCGTTTTAGGAATTTTTGTAGAATTTTATTTAATTGTTTATATTTTGTGCATGTTTAAGTTTTATTCAAATCATGAAAAATACCAAAAACATCACACATGGCATTTAGGCTTTATTTTACATTTTTAGGATTAATCGGTAGTTGCTTGTTTTATAAAAATTAAAAATTACAAAAAAAAAAATGCTTCATTTTTACACTTTTTCCTTTTATTGATTTTTTCTCTTTTAATTTAGGAATAAGTAGCTTTTATAATTTTTTATAATTAGTTAATTAGTTTAATTTCACATTTATAGGTAATCTAGGATTTTAATTAGGATTTTTAATTAAAGAAAAAAAAACAAAAACAAAGAAAAAAGGAAAATAAGAAGAAAATTTGAAAGATGGTATTTTAATTCAAATTTAGATTGTTCTTATACCTAAAATCTAGCCCAGACCACTCAAAGCCCCAATACCATATCCAATACCCTCTTGGCCCACACTCTATTTTTATAAAAAGCAAGACCTAGAGAAAAGGGGGGAGAATTAGACCCTACCGTCTAAAAAGAGGGCAAAGAAAGGCGCATCTTTTGGGGGAGTCTTCTTCTCCAATTTTATCCTGAAGACCTCAAAAAAACCAGACCTTACCCTCAAAAAAACCAGACCTTACCCTTAGACAACCAAAGGCGGCGAATCTTCATTTCCTCATTTTGGAACAAGACAACAGGATTCTTCCTCCCCTATCTGCCTTCATCTCCTTCTTTCATCACCATAGAAAGTGGCCGAAACAGCCCTGAAGTCTCCATGGCCGGCGAGTTTCGCCGGAAATCGGCTAAAACTAACACCTAGTCAGCCACCAATAGACCCCTCCTCTTTTTCTCGCTCATCTCGGTATTTTTCGAAGAAGAATAGGAGAGATTTTCAAAAAAAAAGGGGCTCCTGTCTATCGTTTCTGGGTTTGAAAAGCCAAGTTAATCTGCAAATTGGCAAATTGCTGGCGCCGACGCTTGTTGTTTAGCTGAGCTCCATCTTTCCTCTCGCGTGATTTGGTTATTCGAGTTTGTCTCTGTTGCTGGTCAAAGGTATTAATCTTGACCTCGAAATGTAATTGTTGTTTGGACATCTCTATACTATAATTTGCCGGAATTCGTTTGTGCAAATATTGTTGGATGGTTTTCTCTGTCACCGTACATCTCACAATGAACGAGTTGTTTGGGAATAAGGACTGTTGGAAGTTGTTCATATTTTACATGTTCTATAATTAATTTTGTTTGATGGCTATCATGAGTTTGTTCCATTGCTGGATGCTTTTAGTTTGGATGGTTTAATGTTGAGAACACACAGCAAATAGTATGCTCTGTCTATGTGTCATTCATGTTAAGCCATAGAAGATCATCATCATTTTCATTGTTATTCTCTATAAAAATTAGCACTTCAATTATTATTTTTTGGTTGTTGTTGTGAGTTGTTAGTAAACGTTCCCTATTCTGACCAGAGCTCCTATTAAACCATAAGCTCCACTTTCAATTTTGACAATGCACATGAATGCAGAAATAGGTCAGTAGCGTAAATGAACTTTTGGTTTTCAACCTTAGCTTGGCCAATGTCGTGTTAATCTTGATCTACAACCCTTGATTAGAATGGTTTAAGTTAACTAAATACTAGTCACCTTGAGATATAGATATCCCCAAAGCCTTTAAGCACAATCAAGAATGTTGCAGAAAGTGGATTTAAGTAAATGGGTGCATCCCTGCATGAACAAATATTTCAACAAAGTCACAATAGTTCATTTGAATAAAAGGAATTTACTTTTCATATACAAGATCACACTTTCATTTGAGATTGAGCCGCGTCTGAACATCCGTAGATTGTTTTAGTTGAGTAAAGCCCTTTAGAATAATTTGAGGCGTGCCGTGCCAAATAAAATCTTAAAATGTATGGTCCTCATTTAATTACTATTTTAATCCTTAGAATTCGAGGCGTGCCATTTAGCAAATTTCCATGGCCCTCGCAAAGTTAAAAACGCGTAGTTGCTTTAGGCGCGTAACTTAAATTACTTTCCTAAACTCGGGTGCACATTTATGTGACCCAAATCCAAATCCCAACAATGTTATATAAATGTGTTGCGGACTGCGGGAGCATTTATGTGACGTGGTCCAAGACATATTTTAAATGACGTTACAATTTTCTTTAAAAAATGAATAAAAACGGTTAAAGGTTTAAAATTGCACCATAAGCTAAAACATGTACTAAAATCAGATAATAGGCCATTTATAACAGTTGAGCGACCGTGCTAGAACCACGGAATCCGGGGATGCCTAACACCTTCCCTCGGGTTAATAGAATTCCTTATTCAGAATTTTTGGTTCGCAGACTTCAAAAGGAAGTCGAAATTTCCTCGATTTGGGATTTAAAATAAATCGGTGACTTGAGACACCAAATAAACTATCCCAAGTGGCAACTATGATAAATAACTAATCCCATTTTGAATAATGTCACTTAAATTGGAAAAACTCCCTTATACACTATCCTTCGTGGTGGTGTGTAAAAAGGGAGGTGTAACAGCTCTGGCGACTCTGCTGGGGAACCAAACCCAGAACTTCGGTTCAGGGTTCAAGAATTCGAGGTTAGAGTAGCTGTTATGATTGGCTTTATCTGTTATCTGATTTTTCTACATGTTTGAGCCCAATGTGCTAAATGCTTTTACTGCTTTGATATTCTGTGAACTGTAATAGACTGCTACGAAACCCTCTTCTCTCTGAGTCTTCTAAATCATTTGGGAAGTGTGCACTTCGTGTGACTTCTCTTCTGTTAGAGTCTTATCCCAATTCTAGAACGAGGTTCGGACAAGTTGCAAAGACGGTGAATCCCCATCGGATTCGATCAAAGCTATAAATAAAGTGAGTGAAGAATAAATTGAAAAAAAAGAGAAAAAGAAAAATTGAGTGAAAAAAGAAAGAAAAAGAAAACAAAAAAAAGAGAGCGACAAGAAATAAAAAAAATGACAAACAAAATAGAAAAAAATGATAGTGCCAAAAAATAAAAGAGCGGCAAAAATGAGATATTCAAGAGTGATTAAAGAGAGGCAGAAATGAAGAAAAGAGGTACAGAGTGAAAAGGGCTAGTTAAGGCCGGGATGAAACATGCAACCGTTCAAACACATGGTAGAAGCGTTTAATTGTTAGGTGCATTGCATCTCAACGTGCGATTTTCTATATGTTAAATCTCTCAAAACTAACAAGGTTGTGGTGTGAGCAAATTAGCCAGGTTCTGTTCAGGTGGTTGGTTTTGTTGGTATGCGATGATGAACACGCAACTTTGCACGCGGCCACAACATTATACACAAAGCCGAACTCCACCTCCTAGAAATACCCATCCTTACCAAGCTCCATATAATCCCCAATCAAATGTTCCCCAGTACAATCCTCGGCCAAGAAAGCCTTTCAAAAGGAATCAGTTCACCCCTATTGGTGAATCATACTCGGGCTTGTTCCAAAAGCTAGTCAGGCGAGGTCTGCTACAACCAGTGGCCCAAAATCGGCCGAACGCAGAGTCCCCCTCGCACCAAGCTGATGCTAGATGTGAATACCACTTTGGAGAAGTGGGACACAATACAGAGGACTGTTGGAGCCTCAAAAGGGCAGTAGAAGATATGATTGAAGCTGAAAGAATTATTTTTCGGGATGAAGAAGCTCCTGATGTGATGAACAATCTATTGACTGCCTACAACATCGGGCCAGTATTTGGAATGATTTGTGAAGATGATGAATTTGATCCGGCACTGAAGGCCGTTGCAGCCATTGCCGAGACAGAAGAAAAGCCAAAAAACGGTGGCCAAGCATGAAAGGTCCCCATCATACGGGAGTCTTAGTAGCTAGTCTTGCTATCATTTCTGCGTCCGGATTATCCCAGGGTGTGATCTGGATGTTTTACTCTATTGTCTTACTTTCCGATGTAAGCCCTTCTCCCTTCAAAAATTGAAAAAAAAAAATCAATAAAAAAAATAAATCAAAAATCAAATGAAATTAATATTTCATTGTCTAGGAATGTTTCTTTTCTTAATCTTGTTGCTTTTCTTATTCTCTTTTCAATTCTGTTAAATGCAGATTTCAATAACATGACATGCTTGCGGACTTCATGCCCAGATCCAGGAAGCTGTCAGACTTCGAAATAATGAATCAAGAGTCGAAATGCAAAGAAGATAAGTTTGAGGAAATAAAACAAAGAGTTGGAACAGCTGAAGGAAAATTGGTTCCAGAGTGGAAAGTACCATACATTGCAACAAGAGTATTGCCAAAAGAGTGTGTTGTACTTGGGACACATCGAAAGAAATGTCCCTAAAACAACTGTCAATGCAAATGCAGTGAAAAGGTACTATGTTGGATCCTCCATATAGTTCTAATATTCTCCGGTTGGGATGACGAAGACTTTCATTCTCGCTACCCAAACACTACCAACCCTTTGCAAACCCTTTGAACCGGCTCCCATTCTTTGATTACCCTCTTTGGAACCTGGAAGTGTTATTGAAAAATGAAATGAAAAAAAAAAGAGAAGAAAAAAGAGAAATAAAAAAAAAAAGGAGGAAAAGGCAAAGAAAATGAAAAAAAAGAAGAAGAGAAAAGATGAAAAAAAAGAGAGGAAAAAGAAAATGAAATGAAAAATGGAAAAGAAAGGGAAAAGAAAGAGAAAAAAAACAAAAGAAAATCAAAAACAAAAGTTTCCTGAACTACATTCGACTTGATTCCGAAAGGATACGTAGGTAGCCTCTCTCTGGGGTTCGGTCACACCAAAATAAGAATCCAAACTCTCCCAAAAAGTGAAACTGGGGCAAAAGTTATAATGGTTCGGCGATGGTTCGCCTGAAAGGTTCCAAAGTTGTAACTCAATCCAAAATTCTTTTACCCCAAATCCTGTTCAAGTCCTTTTGATCAATCGGTGAGAATATTCAATGATCGGAGAATGCAGTTACTTGGATCTGAGACAGTCAAATGAGAGAAATTTAAAATGAGAGAATCTTATTGGTGAAAATCCACACGGGCACCGTAAGACGATGTTGAGCAAAGAAATCAAAATGAGAGAGTCTTGTTAGTGAAAACTCGCAAAGAGCACTATACGGCGATGGTAAGTAGAGAAATGAGAGAGGTCAGCTCGTGAAAACTCGCAAAGGGCGCCCCTGATTGAAAAGAGGATCCTCACAGCCATCGGCGCCGACAAAGTCTTGGCAAGGTTTCTCGTATTTTGAAGCAAAAGTTGTGATGAATTTCTGAGAGGGACGGTTTACGCAGATCAGACATCCAGTCCAAAAGGTATGTCATGTTCATTGAAGTCCACATGTACTCCAGATAAGTCCTTCTTTCCTTTCCCCGAAAGGGACACTTCTTGTTTTAAACTCATTCTCCATTCCATTGTTTGTTTTCTTTGAATCCCTTTCGGTCAAACACTGTTCTGAAACTAAGACAAAGAAAGGATGGTAAGACTGATTTAGAGGGTTCTCATTTGGCGCGAGCTAATGTGCAGAAAGGCACCCAGCCTCGTCACGGGCATCAAGTCGACCCCGACTAGATATGGCGGCCGATGCCTCGAAATCAAAACTCTTGGAAGGAGAAAATCAAATTGAAGCGCCTATAAAGGCAGTTGAAGTTGAAAAAGGTTGAGTCCCACGTGGCTAACCGCCTCGGCAAAAGTTGAAGAAGCCAAGGTACCCCAAATGCTCTGAAATTAAAGTTGGACGAAAGAAGCGAGAAATGAAAGGCCTACAAAGGCGAAATAAAGTTGGAAGAGGTTAAGTCCCACGCGACTAGCCGTTGCAGCAAAGTTTGAGGAGCCAAAAGTTCTCCAATGTTCTGAAGAAAGAAAAAAAAATGAAAAAAAAAATGAAAAATAACCAAAAATAAAACGAAGTCAGAAAGGAAAGGCCTACTAAGGCAAAATAAAGTTGAAAAGGTTGAGTTCCACCGACCAACCGTCATGGCAAAGGCTGGAAAAGCTAGAGGCTCTCCAGGGTCAGAAATAAAATTGGTCCCCAGGGAACGAGCAGTTGCAGTTGAAATCTTCATCAAAGAAGTCAGGCCGAGATCAAGTGATTGAAACAATGAATGCCACAAAACCAACCACCGTTTCAAACTAACAATTGTTCTTTGTTTGAAAACATGAAACAGGTGCAATCCAAAGCAACCTTGCAAGAAGCAGGTGCAACCAAAAGAAACTGCGCAAGGGCTAGAAACAGCCTAGCAGCAATAATCAATCCAAAAGAGAAGCCTCCTTCAAATTCTTTCCTGCATTTTTACTCATTTTTCTTAAACTCAAAAAAAATGAAGAATGATGAAAAAAAAAAGGAAGAAAAGTTCCAAAATCATGGTAGCATAGGGCCTCCAATCTCTAGCTGCATCCTTCCAACATAGGTACCCATTCCCTCGTTACCCCCGGCATAACCCGAGGACCTTTTTTCCTTTTTCCCGGCATAACCCGTGGACCTCCCCGGCAATAACCCGAGGATCTTTTTCCTTTTCTCCCTGGCATAACCCAGGGACCNTGTGCTCTTCCGATCTGGCATAACCCAGGGACCCTTTTTCTTTTCTCCCGGCATAACCCGTGGACTTCCCTGGCATAACCCAGAGACCTTTTCCTTTTCTCCCAGCATAACCCGTGGACCTCCCCGGCATAACCCGAGGACCTTTTTTCTTTTCTCCCGGTATAACCAGTGGACCTCCCTGGCATAACCCAGGGACCTTTTTTCTTTTCTCCCGGCATAACCCGTGGACCTCCCCGGCATAACCCGAGGACCTTTTTCCTTTTCTCCCGGCATACCCCGTGGACCTCCCTGGCATAACCCAGGGACCTTTTTTCTTTTCTCTCGGCATAACCCGTAGACCTCCCCGGCATAACCCGAGGATCTTTTTCCTTTTCTCCCTGGCATAACCCAGGGACCCTTTTTCTTTTCTCCCGGCATAACCCGTGGACTTCCCTGGCATAACCCAGAGACCTTTTCCTTTTCTCCCAGCATAACCCGTGGACCTCCCCGGCATAACCCGAGGACCTTTTTCCTTTTCTCCCGGCATAACCCTTTGGACCTCCCTGGCATAACCCAAAGACCTTTTTTCTTTTCTCCCGGCATAACCCGTGGACCTCCCCGGCATAACCCGAGGACCTTTTTCCTTTTCTCCCGGCATAACCCGTGGACCTCCCTGGCATAACCCAGAGACCTTTTTCTTTTTATCCCGGCATAACCCGTGGACCTTTTTTCTTTCCTCCCGGCATAACCCTTGGACCTCCCCGGCATAACCCGTGGACCTTTTTTTTTCTCCCGGCATAACCCGTGGACCTCCTTGGCATAACCTAGAGACTTTTTTTCTTTTCTCCCCGACATATCCCGTGGACCTCTACGGCATAACCCGAGGACCTTTTTCCTTTTCTTCCGGCATAACCCGTGGACCTCCCTGGCATAACCCAGGGACTTCCCCGGCATAACCCGAGGACATTTTCCTTTCGCTCCCTGGCATAACCCAAAGACCTTTTTTCTTTTCTCCCGGCATAACCCGTGGACCTCCCTGGCATAACCCAGAGGCCTTTTTTCTGTTATCCCGGCATAACTCGTGGACCTCCCTGGCATAACCCAAGGACCTTTTTCTTTTATCCCGGCATAACCCGCGGACCTCCCTAGCATAACCCAAGGACCTTTTTTCTTTTATCCCGGCATAACCCGTGGACCTCCCTGGCATAACCCAAGGACCTTTTTTCTTTTATCCCAGCATAACTCGTGGACCTCCCTGGCATAACCCCAGGACCCTTTTTTCTTTACGCCGGCATAATCCGTGGATCTCCGCGGCATAACCCGAGGACCCTTTTATTTTCCTGCATAACCCGGTCATTTTTCCAGCATAACCTGGTAATCCTCCCAATTCAAGGCTTCACTCCTATTCCCAAGGATACACAATCCTGGCATTTATTGCTTTTAATGAAGAATAAATTCAGACCTTTGTCACAAATAACTCACGAAATTTTCCTAGTGAAAACTGGGGCAGAAAAATTTCGTTCGTTTGTTTGTTTTGGCATCTGAGCAGGTTTGACGCCGAGGCGCAGGATCCGAGGTGGCCGAAAGAATGAGCCTCAGTCCAGAATAAAGAAAAGAAGAAAAAGAACAAAAAGAAGCAAATTCAAAGTACTGAAGCAGACAAAGATGCGTATTGCTCAAAATTTGATCTTCG